CTAGTTTCTTCATGTTTCTCCCTAGTGTCAAACTATACAACCTATATTAATGTAATCATAATTTTAAATCATCCTCTGGACAAAAACAAGCTAGGCAGGTATTTTCTGAGAGAAAAATACCTTGTGTTGACACAGAGCCTCCTGGCTCTCTAAGTCACTGATGACTTACCTTCTGTAGGCCTTCATGAATGAGGTGACCTATGTCATCTATACTTCTTCCTAACCTTTTAGATAAATATGTGAAGATTGGATCTTCTTTAGGTAATAGAGGTGCAGAAAGATTAACTCTCTCTTGTACACCCTGAAGAGAAGAAAAAGGTCGAAAAAACACCGTCAAAGGATATAAAAGATCACAAGTAATTCAGCATCTTGTAGTATTTATTTTGACGGAATTTTAAGAAATAGATGATTGTAGGCCAGGTACAGTGGCTCATGCCTGTAATCCTAGCACTCTGGAGGCAGAGGCAGAAGGATCACTTGAGGTCAGGAGTTCAAGACCAGCCTGAGCAAGAGCGAGATCCCATTTCTACTAAGAGTAGAAAAATTAGCTGGGTGTCATGGCCCGTGCCTGTAGTCCCAGCTACTCAGGAGGCTGAGGCAGGAGGATCACTTGAGCCCACGAGTTTGAGGTTGCAGTGAGCTATGATGATGCCACTGCACTCTAGCCGGGGAGACAGAGCAAGGCTCTGTCTCAAAAAAAAAAAAAAGAAAAGAAATAGATGTTTGTAAAATCATAAAGCTGTCTGGAAGGGCAGAAGAAAGAAAAATAGTTTTATAAGCGAGAGTCCAAATTAAAAAAAGGGAAACACAAAAGCACCCCCTCCCCAACAAAGTTCTCTACTTACTCTCAAATGCTGAAAAGCATGTATACTATATGGAAGTTCTAGAATTTTAGTACAATCAGGTTGCTCAGGGTCTGGAGGGACAGGAGATTCTGTGTCTATATAATCTTCAGGGCTAAAATCAAGCAGCGAGAAGCAATGAATGAATGAAAGGTGAAATAAACAATACTTTAAGAAATGTCAAATTTTTCCCATATTCTCATAGCATGTCAACTTCATACTTTATCACATGGCTGCCATACACAGTCAAATATTTTGGGAGTTCCATTTAAAGGGCATAAGTCAAGAATTGGAAAATAGTAAGTAGGTCATACAATATTAAGATTGTAGACTTAAAAAACTAGTGTAACTCTGCTAAGTTGTTTCTAAAAATGTTAAACAAATTTACACTTCCATTGACAGCCTCTCTGCATTTTTACTGGTTACTGATTTTTTTCCCCAATTTGGTAGATAAAAACTATCTAAATGTTTTAATTTATATCTATTTATACCATTTCAAGAAATACTTTTTCCACATGTTTCTTGGCCATCTGTAGTTTGTTTTTCTTTACTATAAATTATTCAATTTTCTACTGTGATATTAAATATTTTAATTGATTTCTAAGAATTTTACATGTAGTATGTATTTTGAACTTTTGAATTCTAATAAACTCATCTGTGCTTGAAGCTTATTCTTATTACCCGAATAATTTCTTATTGATTTGACAAAGGTTTGTTTGGGGGAAAAACAATTTTGTTTTTCGAAAGAGAATCTCTTTACCTGATGTCTTTGCTTTCCAGAGTTATGTATGTGCCATCATAGAGATCCAGGTCCCCTAAGGGGACCTTGGCTTTGATGCAGTCTGGATCTTCTTTATTATGTCTCTGTTCCAGTCCTGTGTCTCTGTCCTCATTTTCTTCTATGTGAATTTTTTGAGCAACCAATTGTTTCTGTTGAGAAGAAAATGAGAATAGAATGGATTCTTCTAATATTTCAGTCCAAATGCCAGTGAAGAGAAAGAATTTAATGAATGCTAAAAAAGTCAGAGGATACTCTCTGAAGGAAGACAAGGATTCTCAAAATGCCCTGAGTTAATTTACTCAACACGCATAAGCTTCTCTAAAAAGAAGTCCACATACAGAAAGTAACAGAACATGACATTTATCATATTGGCACACAGATGCCTTCATAATATGATTTCTGACTACCTATAAAGCACATGTGCCAACTTCCCTGACACAGTATGACTCTGCAATTAAAACTTCCTTGAATTGTCCAAACCCATCAGGTTGTTTCGGTCAGAAAGCATGATGCTACTGCTACCTGAGTGTTTCAGGTGAATTCTTCACACTCATAAAACATATATTTTTGCAAACATATAGAGGAATAACATACATATTCATGTTTCTACCACCTACATCTATCATATGCTAGCATTTTATCTTACTTGTTTCAGTATTTTTTTTTAAAAGGACAAAAAAAGTAGTTAATGAAAGCTCTTCTTTACTGGCTTCTAAATCCCTGATTTACCAAAGTTACCACTATCCTGAATCTGTATATCATTTCCATGTATATTTTTATAAAATATTACCATATTACCCTTACTATCTGAGAATATTACTTTCAAGCCAGGTGCAGTGGCCTGTACCTGTAATCCTAGCATTCTGGGAGGCCAAGGCCTGAGAATTGCTTGAGGCCAGGAGTTCGTGACTAGTCTGGGCAAGAGCAAGACCCCATCTCTACAAAAACTAGAAAACTTAACTGGGTGTGGTGGCACATACCTGTAGTCCCAGCTACTCGAGAGGCTGAGGCAGGAGAATTGCTCGAACCCAGGAATGTGAGGGTGCAGTGAGCTATGATAATGCCACTGCACTCTAGCCTTGGGCAACAGAGTGAGACTCTGTCTCCCAAAAAAAAAAAAAACAAAACTGGGTGTGGTGGCACATACCTGTAGTCCCAGCTACTCGAGAGGCTGAGGCAGGAGAATTGCTTCAGCCCAGGAATGTGAGGTTGCAGTGAGCTATGATCATGCCACTTCACTCTATCCCAGGCAACAGAGTGAGACCCTGTCTCTGAAAAGCAAAGGGTGGGGGAGGAATGAAATAATGTCATTTGCAGCGATGTGGAGGGAACTGGACACCATTATCCTAAGTAAACTAGCTCAGGAATGGAAAAGCAAACACCATATGTTCTCACTCATAAG